GTAACTTGTGTAAGTTAATATCATGCATGAGCATGAGACTTCAGGTACGAGTGTAACGATAGAACGATACATCGTAAGTCCAGATGGAGTTGATAAAACTCCATACATAGGCAGTTTCAAGTAAACCCTATGCTTGCAGTCTTACAAATTAAGTTACACAATCGTGACGCAGTCACAATAAGTCAACGTGACGCGTAGCAACGCAACGTAACAAGCTCTCATTGATTAGACTTGAACGCCGGGTCGTACTGAAGGCGCCCTCTCAGCTACACGCCCAGCTACTTGACGTTACATTGTAATGATATTACTATTACCTTCGCCCAAGAGGCTTGCCAGACAGACGCAACTGTAATCTAGGCTTATTACTAATAAAATGAATACAAAAATGCAATTTTTTTGGAGTGCCATGCCGCTATGCACCTGGTATTTGCCGTGCAATTAAACAGTTTATTGTCTGAGATATTTTACTGATTTAGAACTCATAACTATGGTAGGTCCTACCTCTTTAATATTTGTATTGTTGTATTTACCTTGCAGCTATATGCAGGCTTATTGTCACAACTGTTTAACTGATTCATAAATTACAAATGGTAGGCCAATCTCTTGACCTTTTAGTTGATATTAAACGCCAGTGACATTTTTGCATGAGGGAATCACAAACACTTTAGGGAAGTGGTGCCAACCCCCAAAATATTTATGGATACGTTCTTAGTATCTTAACAATTTTAAAATTGTAACAGTTTGTAATTTCATATAAAACTAAACAAAAATTGTTTATCTAGAGCAGAATATTATTCCGGAATATTACAATATTACGTTTACAATATTTGAGGCGGTCCATTCCAAAACTCACATTATCCTTATCTTTAAAATGTTCAGGAAATAAAAAAACCGTTTAATTAACTATCCTGACAGTGAATTATTATGTTTTTATGTAGTTTATGAGGGCTAAGTTACAACCATTGTAGAAGATTTTGCTTAATTTAAGACTGAACGGAAGACACGTCTTTTCCTCGTGTACAGGTATTGAAAACATTATCACCCATAATTTAAAGTAGGTTAGTCGCCAATTTAGTTTGTTAAGGCTTGGGCGTCACTTGTTGGTAACAACAAATTACAGTGATTGTTGAATTAAGAAAAATGTTGTGGAAATTGACTCTAAATACAAATAAAGTTATAGCTTTTGTAGCAACTCAATTAGTTTTACTTACTTAGCTGCTACACGCTATTCTACGATACAAAAAATAAAAACCAATATCGCAATCAATTTAGGAAAAATGTTATTCTACGCAGAATATGTTAAAAATAACTTTGATAAAGTAGAGTAACAAATTATTATAAAAAAATAACATAATTTATCTTTTGTTTTGTGTAGATTAACTAAATCTAGAGGAATTTTAGTCACATTCTAGCATCTCAAGCTTCTTTTTCCCGCATAAATAAATGACCCTGCTATTTTACAAACTATAGCTAAATAAAAATAATAAAACCCCATTTTGTACCGACCTCAGACGGAGTGTCTTATAACCACATATAAATGATCTTGCAAGTCCAGCGCCGCTGCGCCGCTCTAATCGCACGTGATTATTTCGCTTGTTAACTCAGATGAATGTCTGATAAATCTGACTACTTCTTCGACTTCAACAGAATCGCCACAAAAACCCGCGTCCTCTCGGACCATATTCCGACGATTAAATAATATCAAGAACATGGGTTGCCCCAGGACCTGATGAGATTCATAGTTGAATATTTATTCATTTTATAGCTACAAAAACCCTGAGAAACAGCTCCTGTACGCTTTCATGTTAAATTAGATGGACGAAGCCTTAGGCGACAGCGGCGGCGGAGGCCTCACTCGGTATAATCCAACAAGAGAGGGCTAAAAAATACTTATTTGAGTTTCTATTTAGTAAATGGGTTTGTTGAGTTTGTATGTAGGGTTATTGGTGGTGACCTGTGTGTTGATTTTTCCTATTATTATTTTTTATCAGGACCGCCTCTATTAGGAAAATACCTCAGGACCGTACTTCGCTCGGAGTAAACATCGTTTGTATAATCAAAGAGTATTCTTTTTTCTGTGGTATTGATACACATGTTTTATAAATTTGTCTGGACTATCTTACAAGATGAACCGATGATATATTGGACTTGTATGCGTCTATGAATGTTTTACATATCAATCAACATGTTGTTATTTTTGCAACCAAAATGACCGACACGTTTAGATGAAATATATGAAAATATACTTCGCTTATTGTCTGCAACACTTACCTGATTTCCCTGCCCATATTATACGTCAACAAAACCACTATGCACATTTGTAAAATAAAATGTATGTTTATTTTATTTGTTTATTCGTGTTTAACCAAATAAAAACATCCAGTTCTTAATAATTGCTTATCTTGTAACTAAACAAGCGAACAGAAAAGAGTAAAATAATGTTTTGCACTACAAAGAAAATAAACAAAATGAGTCACCATCAGTCCACTCCAAATGTTACCAACAGCACATAAAACACACAACTGGAATATTTGATTTAATTCGTAAAAATTGAATAGGAAGTCCACTTGCACTAGTCTAAGTCAATTCTTTCAGTACATCCTGCTGTTAATGTAAGGGTGAACATAGCAACATTTAGGCACTGTTTGCTGCCAAACGTGGTTTGTAAGCGTAGCAACACTTGTGACAAACTTTAATATTGACTTTATATATCGCTTTCAACCGCATCAAACACAAAGGGTCCAAATTATACCAAAATCGCAAACACCGCCCCCGCGGGGAGGTCGACGACCCATATCGCAAGCTACGGTAATCGATGGGAGCTGATCGACCCGGTAAAATATCGACAATCGAGAGCCATTACTGGCCATAAGTCAGGTGGTAATTTGCCAAGTCCACACCTCGATGTGTTAGTTATCGCAGACACGGGAACCGACTTTCAGCTGATTTAGCCGCGATGTTTTAGAACCAAATTACACGATTGCCTTCCTCGGTTTCGTCACAGCCCCTTTGTGAGACGGTTGGAGTAAGTTTATTTTAGAGTTTTAGAAACAAGAATATAAAGGAAAAATGATAAAAGCAGTTTTGTGTCCCGAGAAAAATAAAGACGATATTACTTAAGTCGTGCTTTTGTAGTTTTCTAAAACCCTATTTGAAAGTTTAAAATCAATACTAGTATGATTGCTGCTTCTTTTAAGAATTTGCGAGACGAAATTCTTACCCTTAGAACGATAATACCAATATAGTGGCATAAGTATACGATGAAAACTGATTTTATGCTCATAAATATGTTATGTGTGTATTTGAGAGAAATTACCAGGAATTAGCCATAACGTTGACTGCTAACCTCATAGACAAGTTATCCGAAGAAGACATTATTCATATCACAAAAAAGTACAACTAAGCATCAGTAAAGCTCAGCCCTATAGATTGGAGGGTAGTAGGATCACCTGTAACGGTGCCTACACCCCTTCAGACCATGTTAAGGCAACATTCCAACGCAAATCCGACACCAACCCTTAACCCCTTCAGCTCAATAAAACAATCCCCTAGGCAACGCGATACAAGTTTTTTAACCCTTCAAAAACGCCGAAGTTTTTTGCTCCGTCGGGGGCGGTGGCCTACTTCTAGCGGCGTATTCGATATCATTCACGATAAAAGAATAAAATTAACCCTAACTCAGGCTATCGAGGAATTCAAAATTTGAATGATAAAAGATTACATTCTTTTGTAATTTAGAATCAAACGTACAAACACTATTCCTTTTCTTCTTTCGCTTGAGTTGAGGCTTTGAAGTAATCTTGGTGATTTTGAAACTAGATATCTTGGGTACTAAGCATATATGATTTATGTTGCTTGTTTTCAGGGAATTCAAATACAATATGACAAATTCGAGGGTTGTGAATGCAGACGCCTCGGTCACTTATCCAACACAGCGCTATATCCATATAGCAATGAAACAAATATTTAGGCGTTTCCAAGATTCAGGAATTGTAATTGTAGGGCTAACTATTGTATTGGAATTCCGTAAGCGTATACTTACAACTTTAGATCATATATTGAAAATATTTTCCCTTACAAGTTTGCTTTGAAATTTATGGATCAGACATCGATATCGAAACAAACCACTTTTATCACTGAATAATCGTTTCACTCTCAGTTTTCATTTGTATACGTTTACGCTTAAGGTGTTAGATAGAGTAAAATTTTCCCAGAAAATTAATTAAACTCATGTATTTGATGTTATTGGTAGTGCAGAGCTGTAAATTTCTCAATAGTCGTGCTTGGTAGTTCAATGTTTTCAAACAATCCAGGCTTCAGACTAAGCGATTTTCCATTTCCTAATTGGGTTTTACTTGAATATCACCATTAAATTGTCATATTTATTCCCTAGGCCTATTCAAATAACTAGTTTAATGAGTACTTAGGTTTGCTGCTACAGGGAAGGTAACAAAGTGGTTTTATAGTTAAATAATAATAGTACAGAATAAAATAAATAAATTTTCAAAATTTTATCAAAAGTATCCATAAACAAGCAAACTACAACCGTTTATAAATTCTCCATAATTTACAGTTTTTTTTAATGTTCTCTTTCAACTCTTCAATATACTAAATTATTAGTTTTTGAATCCCTACAAAATGGTTTGAAAAGAAATTGCAACATTTTATGTTTTAGAGTCAAACATGGGAAAACCCATTTTTACCTCCTAAATCCCCCCTTATAAACCCCGTTCCCTTATTAGTCCGATCATGCTGGTTCACCAACTCGTTCGAAAAAAATGTAGGTTTACACGTTTATATAAAAATTTAATCAAAATCGGATCATTTTTGGTCGAGTTATCCTGATAACGGACACATATATAAAATATACATATAAATATAAATTGGTCCTGGGACCAGGTCCTACCTAGAGACCTAAGGTAATAGCTTATTACCTATATGGGAAATTCGCTAAAATGCAAATGGTGTACTTAAAATGTTACATTAAAAACATGGTAACTTTATAACATGACTGACACTCTTTCTAGGGCGTAAGTTACGTTGCCAGCTTCATTGGCCTGGAGATGAAAAGGAGGAATTGACACTGGAGGCTGAAGAAAAAGGTGGATAAATGCTGAAGTAGTTTAAAACAAATCATATGATTTATTGGGGTGAACTGAGGAACGCAAAGACTATACAGAAAGTTGGAAGGTTCATCAAAAGATTGGGAAGAACATTGGCAAACTTTTACTAAAGTATTATAGACAGATTAAAAAGCAAGCAAACCAGCTAGGAGGAGTCAAGTTACCATTTACATTTAGTTTAGTTAACATTTACCTTCACTACCCGAGGCAGGATCTTAACTCTCCGAGAATCTCATGTGTGTGTTAAGTTTCATAATTATTTATTTCCCGCACAAAATCTGCTGATCCTAGAAATAAAACTATGGGTTTGTTTTAATGTCATTACTTAAATGTTTGAGATTTGTCCATGTCTTCATCTCACCACTTATTCCTCTACGTCACACTAGCACACTTTGCCTCTCAAACTCACCACGGAGCCGGTGACGTAATGTTCGCACCTTTGCCCCTCGAGGCTCGACTATCATCGCAGATAGCCATATTAATTCAGTTATTCATCTCCGCGCTATATCGCACCTAATGAATCGCGCAGCTGCTAGAAGCGCTCTATAATCAGCAGGCGAGTGTGAAGTGTGAAGTGTGAGCCAGATAGGATCATTACACAGGCCATGCCTCACCCGAGACAACAAGATTTGGGAAGCGAGCGAGTGTTTATTTATTGGGCGAGGGCGCCTATTACCGCTCGGGCAAAGTGTCGGTCCAGTCACAGTTACATTTGCTTATGTGAGATGAGAGTGAAGCAATCATATACTTGATGTAGAGGATCATGCAGAAAGTCTTTTGAATTAGTTTACTTTCAAATTCAAATAGATTTATCAATAATGTAATATAAGCATGACCTATGTAAGATTATAAAAGTTGTTGGAGAGGTCCAATTGACAGTCAAACGGTTGTTATTTTTATTTATATGAAATTAAACATTTTCCTGGTTTCAAGATGCAGTTACTTATATGCAACAGAATTTTTGGCAGGCAAGTTTGCATCTAATTCTATGTATATATTACAAAGTTATTGTAACAGTTATATACTAAATGATTAATCCATGACAAACCATTTTAACATACAAGAATTATAAAAATGCTAATCGAGTAAAATAAGAGAAGGGTTTTTCGAAGTAGGACCGCTGAGTGAAGCGGCAGCCGACATCATCAGTGAGATGAAGAGGTTGCCAAAGAGTCATCATTGAGTAAGAAGACTTTACCGCTTATCAGATAGTTTGAACGACATGATCCACACATTCGTATTATGCATATTTTGCGCAGCATGTAGGTACTGGTACTGTACTGGTCAATGGTGCCTGTTGGCTGGTAGCTGGTAGTCGGATGCTGGTAGGCCTACTGTACCCGTCAATGGTGCCTGTTGGCTGGTAGCTGGTAGTCGGATGCTGGTAGGTGGGAGGTGGCCTGGTACTGTACTGGTCAATGGTGCCTGTTGGCTGGTAGCTGGTAGTCGGATGCTGGTAGGTGGGAGGTGGCCGGGTACTGTAATGGTCAATGGTGCATGTTGGCTGGTAGCTGGTAGTCGGATGCTGGTAGGTGGGAGGTGGCCTGGTACTGTACTGGTCAATGGTGCCTGTTGGCTGGTAGCTGGTAGTCGGATGCTGGTAGGTGGGAGGTGGCCTGGTACTGTACTGGTCAATGGTGCCTGTTGGCTGGTAGCTGGTAGTCGGATGCTGGTAGGTGGGAGGTGGCCTGGTACTGTACTAGTCAATGGTGCCTGTCTGTTGGCTGGTAGCTGGTAGTCGGATGCTGGTAGGTGGGAGGTGGCCTGGTACTGTACTGGTCAATGGTGCCTGTTGGCTGGTAGCTGGTAGTCGGATGCTGGTAGGTGGGAGGTGGCCTGGTACTGTACTGGTCAATGGTGCCTGTTGGCTGGTAGCTGGTAGTCGGATGCTGGTAGGTGGGAGGTGGCCGGGTACTGTACTGGTCAATGGTGCCTGTTGGCTGGTAGCTGGTAGTCGGATGCTGGTAGGTGGGAGGTGGCCTGGTACTGTACTGGTCAATGGTGCCTGTTGGCTGGTAGCTGGTAGTCGGATGCTGGTAGGTGGGAGGTGGCCTGGTACTGTACTGGTCAATGGTGCCTGTTGGCTGGTAGCTGGTAGTCGGATGCTGGTAGGTGGGAGGTGGCCGGGTACTGCAATGGTCAATGGTGCCTGTTGGCTGGTAGCTGGTAGTCGGATGCTGGTAGGTGGGAGGTGGCCTGGTACTGTACTGGTCAATGGTGCCTGTTGGCTGGTACCTGTTAGTCGGATGCTGGTAGGTGGGAGGTGGCCTGGTATAATTAGACTTAGGCCCGCTGAGTGGAGCGGCGGCCGACACCGTCAGTGAGATGGTACTGAACTGGTCAATGGTGCCTGTTGGCTGGTAGCTGGTAGTCGGATGCTGGTAGGTGGGAGGTGGCATGGTACTGTACTGGTCAATGGTGCCTGTTGGCTGGTACCTGTTAGTCGGATGCTGGTAGGTGGGAGGTGGCCTGGTACTGTACTGGTCAATGGTGCCTGTTGGCTGGTAGCTGGTAGCTGGATGCTGGTAGTTGGGAGGTGGCCGGGTATAATTAGACGTAGGCCCGCTGAGTGGAGCGGCGGCCGACACCGTCAGTGAGATGGTACTGTACTGGTCAATGGTGCCTGGTAGCTGGTAGTCGGATGCTGGTAGGTGGGAGGTGGCCTGGTATAATTAGACGTAGGCCCGCTGAGTGGAGCGGCGGCCGACACCGTCAGTGAGATGAAGAGATTGCCAAAGAGGCAGCATTGTTTGCCAAGAGCTCTTGAGAGGTTTCATAATTACTCAAGACATTCCGGCGAGCTACAGCTACTGGAGACCCTCTGGCCTACATCACGTGTGGTCTTGTGTCTCGCCCTGTAAATGTTTAGTGTTTGCATCTGTTATTGATACTGCAAGTAGACTTTTCATATTATTGTAAAAACTTATGTTATTTGACTTTTTTTCACGGTTACGGTAAAGTTTGAGTACACAGATATCGTATAAGAGCTCTTCACCCTTTAGGAGTAAATTTAATTCAAGGGTTTTTAAATTAGATGACCATAATAACATGATTATATATGTAAGTGTGTTTTACCCTTTGGGCAAGCACTAGTTTATACAGATATAGTTTCATTTAGTTAAAATAATTTTTGCTAAAGGGAAAACGATCAATAAATCATAGACATTGAAATTCTACCTATATAGGCTACTATTTATATCGGGCAGAATCGTATCATAAAACTGTTTTCAACTGGTCTACACTTCATGAGGGACTTTACTAACTCTATTTTTATAAAGGTACCGTAGCTTCAAACTTGAACTACACATTTTGTACACTCATTACTCTACTAATGTCTAAAATACTTATGTTAATTGAAAATGAAAACACGGGAACCCCTATAAGTAGACACACGTGTTTCGAAGCTTTTGGCCGTGTGATAATGCATTTTCCGGCGGTTTGGATTCCACCTTGAGCTGCACCGATTTAGAAAACAAAGAAAAGCCCGATCTTTCAGACGACGAGGACTTCTATGCATTTAAGAAAGCCTGCTACAAAAATCCGCATGGTTCGAGTTTAATAATCATAGAGGAAAGATTAGGCATGTTCGGACTCTTTAATACAGACCAACTGCTCGCGTCAAAGTAATACCATGACGTAAAACAAGAACTCCATTGAGCCTCGAGTACAAGTGGCTCAGGCAAGATCGTGGTCTAAGACAAAGACGGCTCATTGATGGCATCTGTCGAATCACGAAGACTGAAGAGAAAGGCGAGGATGAAGAGGATATGTGATCTCTTTTGATGTTCTGCGAACCCAGTCTCAGATTGAGCTAAGGCTACTTACCAGCAAATAAGACGAAATATTTTCAACTGGGGGGTTTTATTCAAAATGTAGTGTATTAATGTGGCTGGATGATATTATGAGATGGTCTATTTATGAGTTGAGTCTATAGCTGATATTTAAATTTAACCAATTCCTTAATAATTCCTTAAGTTAACCAATCCTTAATACTATACCTCCACAGGATTGTGAATAGCCGCACCTAACTTCCATAAACAAATGAGTATTTGGTATTGATACTCAGCAGTGGCATATTAGAAGGAGGATAATATTTATTAGTTGACATGGCTGAATTTGTACTGCATTACATATATGGCAAGTAGTGAAATAGAAGATTGTGTGTATTTAAATCTAGAAATCATTTCTCAAGTTGAGCAAACACTGTTAACTTCCTCATTGATTTATGTCAAGTTATTATAATAAAAATCTCTGGATAAAAAATAGATAAAAAGAATGGCATATTTCATCACAAGGGCGTAAAGTGAGCCTTTTTGACCCAAGATCGAGTTTTACGAGGCGAAGTGGAGGTCGAAGAATGAGCCAGGGTTGAAAAGACTCTTTCTGCCCATGCGATGAACTATATTTTCGTCATAGTGCACAATATTATTTGAACAAACTATGTTACAAAACTGAAATAGTTTTCATTTAAAGATAACCTTTAAAAACTACTTCTAACTTGTTTTCAAATTAATTTGCTAATGCAAACAAGCAGCTTTTTCAATGCCACACAACAAATGCATTCAAACGGCTGTTTTTCCTGTAGAATGACGAACAACTATTTATCTAATATAGTATATGGCGTGCACTTTTTAATGTTTGCTATAACTTCTTGTCACTTAAAAAACTCTGAAACTACTTTACCAAATAAAACGATAACATTGTGTAACTATTGCTTTTCACTTGATAGTAATCAATTGTAAAACATATGCCAAATACACTCAAACAAGACAGTACATTTAATCGTCATCAAAGGTCGCTGAAACAATAGCCATACTTAATTGATAAAAATTTGAAGAACCGATTTTGATTTTGATAAATTGATTGGCGGATCACTTATCTGGGCAGCCAAGTGCTAAATAATGGCTTTAGTGCTCCGAATATTACTGGTTATAACATAAACGGGATCGTATCCGTACACAAACAGCATTTGGCATTAGGCTATCAATTAATGATGATATCACTCTACAATAAAAGGTTTAAATTACCTGTATCCGTCAAGTGATCCTGGTTTGTAGTTAATTGACTACAGCCGTTTCATGTTGTAAAAACACATCTTCAGGTCAGACGTGTGACCTGAAGATGTGTTTTACAACATGAAACGGCTGTAGTCAATTAACTACAAACCAGGATCACTTGACGGATACAGGTAATTTAAACCTTTTATTGTAAAAATCAGTGATCCAGAGGCTATACTATAAAAATGATATCACTCTGACAAAAGGTTAACGTTATTAAGTAAAAGACCTTGGGTAAAATCCAATGCTGTTAAATTATAAAAATCATACTTTCTGTATCTAAAGTCAATGCTATAACGTTTCTCAAACAACCTTGGCAGGAACGAAGCAACGATCTAGTCAAATTCCGACACATATCAACAGCAGCGCCACCTACGAGCTGCAATTATAATTTATTCCAATCTCGCCGACCAGCTTTCGTCGGGTTTTTGGGATCCTCAAAAATGACCCGCAGCTTCAAAGTGCCGCCGCTTAGCCTGAACAGTTTCCGTCGATTCAGATTGTTTTCAAACTCGGTGGCATGTTCGCAAGCGCAATAATCGTTTGAAAGCGTTTTAATTTTCTGTTATTCCTTCTGATTTGAGCCGGCTTCGGTCTGGCCTGTCGCCGGGGGGTCTGAGGTTTAGTCTTCTAGCTTCAGTTGTATTCTCATAACTCTTCAGGGAAATTGAATTCAGTTGTAGTAGACTCATTGAGCCCCCAGAGGGGAGGTAAATGCTCCGTGTTGGTATCGGCATTTTCAAGTTGGCCACAGACATGGTCGACTGGGCATCGGGTCCCAGTGACATTCCTTTATCCAGGATGGAGGGGTGTTTAGCTCTAGGAGAGATGGAAGTACATCATAATCTCTAACCTACCTGTGTCTGTGGTACTTTGGGCTTCGGCCTGCTTGTGGTGTGCGACCAGCATTCAGTGGGCAAATCCTCGACTTTGGAAGTAACCTTTCCTGGAGGTGAAAACGGGCAAGTACCCGCAGCTCACGGGGACACTCAAGGGCAACGTAACTTTCCGCAGTGTGAGGGCAACGGTTTGTAGGTACTTATGCAAACCTATCCCTGTCTCTGAGCACGGACGGTATGGTTATCTTGAGTGTGGGGGGTTCTTCCCGGAACCTCAATTGAGTCAAGGGTGTCGCCACCTCTGGTGGATAGGTTCATCCGGGTGGGTCCCACTTCTATACCTGCCTCCTTTTGGGAAACCCTGATGGCCTGGCAGTGATGTTGGGTCTGACGGGCAAACGAAGTAGATCGGGTGCTGGGTCCGAGCCCGCCAGGGGTATCTGGGGATCTATCGCTCTGGATATCTCTGGTTCCCAGCAATGGGTCAGGCCTCGATCGGGCAGCGGTGTAAATGGGAGGTTGGGGTTCCCCCTGTCAGCGTGCTGATGGTCCCCTTCCTCCTGGCTATTGATGGCGGGTTCTGCCTGTCAGGGATGAGATAGGTCCCGAGTGTTGCTTGCACTAAATGCGTCGGGGCGCTCTACTATGGACCTCTAGGTTCCGACCTAGTGGAACCCAGGTGGAGTGACGCTTAAACAAGCAGCCGGAATCCCTGGTTAGGATTGAGGGGCAACCCTCTTTCCGAAGGGTCTGCTTCGGCAGCCGGCGAGCCTGATGACCTTAAGTCATCCGCCCATGATGTGCTAAAGGTTGATGCGTAAGCTTCGGCCTACATCATGGGGCCCGGGTATGTCCTGAAGGATAGGTACCGGGTAAGCAGTCAGGGGGCTTCGGCTCTCATGACAACAAATGTAAAATGTAAAATGTAGACTCATTGAGCACATAAGATGAAGCAATTTTTTTGAACACCCTGGAACCGCCTGTTCATATATGTAATTTTAGTAAGTGTAAAAATTGGAAATGTCATTGAAACCATTATGTGTGTTTCTGTTTCAATAGTTATCATTGTTTGCAAATTAATTTTTGTTCACACAACTGCCAAGTTATCAAATAACTCCATTAAGTACAATACAGATATTTTGCAAATCAATACAACATGGATTGATTTCGTAAGGGTTTGGAGGAGGATAAAATTCTCAATACATCTCAATAAATTAATTATCCATCCTTGATCTTAGTCAGTAACAAAGCTGCAAAGATCAGCCCACTCTATTCTACACTCACCCTTCACTCATATTTGGGTTGAAATACACAGGTGGCGTCCCCATCTTAATGATTGAACGTCAATTGAAAATCTATATTTATAAAAGTGGAAGTTTGTATATATATTTGAACGTTATGGACTCCGAAACCTCTCAACAAACTGTAATGAAACTTTCAGGCATTATTAAGCATTATTCAAGTATGGTTTGTGTGAAGTTTGGTGCAGATCCGTCAAAAGGGCTCCGCCCTAGTGGCTCTGGAGTTTCCCATGTTAACCTTATAGAATCTTAACAGCTGTTTCAACTAAACAATTTGATTCTCTGATGATCAACAGCATTAAAAGGTTGCAAGATGTACCAACAGGGCGCAGCACTATTAATTGTCTAAATTTATGACAACTAACAGTTGCTAATTTCAACCAAGCAGCTGTGATACAAAATTAGAACTGTCAAGGTAGGATTGTTTACAGTTATGTTTATGTTTTT